GGAGGGCTACGAAGATGATGAGGGGACTGGAGCATCTCTCCTATGAGGAAAGGCTGAGAGAGCTGGGACTTTTCAGCCTGGAGAAGACTGAGGGGGGATCTGATCAATGTTTATAAGTAGCTGAAGGGAAGGTGTTGAGAGGATGGGGCCAGACTCTTCTCCGTGCTGCGCAGTGACAGGACGAGAGGCAACGGGCACAACCTGAAACACAGGAAGTTCGGTGTGAACATGAGGAAAAACTTCTTGACTGTGAGGGTGACTGAGCACTGGAACAGGTTGCCAAAAGAGGTTGTGGAGTCTCCTTCCCTGGAGATATTCAAAAGCCGTCTGAACACACGATCCTGGGCAACGTGCTCTAGAGGACCCTGCTTGAGCAGGGGGGTTGGACTAAATGATCTCCAGAGGTCCCTTCCAACCTCAACCGTTCTGTGAATGTTCCTGCTGCTAGTTGACAGTATTTCTGTAATCACCTGAATCTCCAGAGGATCCCTGAGGTACTGGAGACCTCCAGCTGGAATAATGCCACTATCCTAGGCCAGTTGTATCCTCTGCATCCTTGCTTTAGGCAAATATGAGCCATTTCAGCAGTACATAACATTCCTGGTCATGAAACAGTCCTCAATTGTGCAAGCTCTCACAGTCAGTAAGAAAAGGATAAAAACGACAACCAGAGGGATGTAGAATAGACTTGATAACACTGAGGACTGGGTGAACAGAAAGCTCACAAAATTCAAAAGAAATGAAAAGTCCTGCACCCAGGGTGGAACAACCCTAAGTGCACCAGAGCAGGCTGGGAACCACCTGGCTGAGCTGCAGCCCGGATGGGCGCTATGAGGAACACCACACTGAATAGCAGCCAACAGAGCACACTCTCCTTGTGAGTAACCCAAGCTGAACATGTTAAGTGTGGCCAGTGAATTCAGAGGAGTTATCCCCCTTTCCACTGGTGAGGCCATAGTCAACTGGACACTTACGGCTGGTTTTAGGCTCCTCTTCCCTGCTCCCCTCCCCAGTCATACTAAGAAACTGGAGGAAAGGACGCACAGGACCTAGGACACGAGAAGCTTAGGAAGCAGGGCTTTGCTCTGGCAAAGAGGTGAAGGAGTGAACTAACTGCAGCCTACAGTTACTTGACAGCTACAAAGAGGACAGAGCCAAATTCTTCCTGATAGTGTCAGACATATGATAAGAAGCAATGGCCTCAAGCTGTGCCTTGGGAGGTTCAGACCGTGTATTAAGAAAAACTTTTTACAGGAAAGTTAGTGAAGCACTGAAACAGAAAGACCTTATGAGATCTCCATCCTTGGAAGTTTGCAAGATTTGCCAGACAGAGCCATGGCTGATGGTGTTACTCTCACTCTAAATGGCATTTCTAAGTACCTGCTTCTTGCAATATGGCTCATATCAACTTATTGTAACAGAGAGCAGCTGTGACAGCAGGAAGGGAATGAACATCTTTTTGAACATCTTTGAGGCAGGCCACACACACCAAATAGCTAGGGAAGGGGAACAAGAAGGAAGTACAGTGTGCAAGGCAGGTTGAAGGAGCTCTGTAAAAAACACTCACCTGCTGAAAAAAAACTCTTAAAAAAAAAACATTTAAAAAAAAAAAAAAAAAGCATACAGGAATAGGGGATTCCTCACAGGAGAGGGAAAGAAAGAAGCAAGAGAAAGCTGTGTAGACTGTTTTAAAACATAAAGAGTTGTGGAAATGTGGATCAGTGCCTGATCTAAGAGTGGGAAAACTGCATCCTTCCAGGCTTCATGGTCAAATCAAAGCCTGATACTTGAAAGCATGCACTTACAAACCCCAAACAGGATAGAGATGCACAGCTATAACAACAAATAGCATAAAAACCCCACAAGCAAGTAACTCTAAATCCTTGTTTCAATGGCAACCACTAACTGAGAGGCATGCAGAAGCAGAGGAATATGCACAGATCAGCTGTTCAGTGAGTACTATCCACCCTGTTAACTTTTCCAGATGACTTCACCTTCTATTGCTCCATAATTAACAGCTGTATTGAAACATATTTGACCAAGCAGATGCCAGAAGCTTCCCCAGTAGCTTACACTTTCTAACTTGAGCACCTGCATTTACACCCATACACACTTGCATAATACTGACACTAATACTAGTCAGTGGCAGGACTGGGACCTCGAGCTCTACCCGAGATTAACAAATACCAGTAGTACAATGTCATTAAGGGGAGACGACTCACATGCTGAGCAGCGAGTTTCATGCATATAGGCTCACATCACAGAGAGATTCACAGCCACCTTTGGTTACAGTCCAGATTCTGGAAGGGGCATGCTCTGGTAGTCAGAGTTCTTTTACCTCTATCCTTTATTCCTAATTCCTCACACCAGGAAGTTTTTCAAAACAGTACTTGCAATTTTTAAGCCTAAAATAAAGTAGGTTTAGTACAGTGTACCCTCTCTGTGAGCAGTGAGCCAAAGCCTTTCAGAGATTACTTACACTAAGGCAGCAGGCGATATCTGGTAACATCGGCTAAGACACAGATGCTGTAGGAAGATGAGTTGATGAAAATATTGGAAGCACTCAGGCTTCAACATCACGCTGTCACTGTACATGAGAGCACATGAATTAGAGGCTGTCCTTTAAGTACAAAGAAGCAGCAAATTTGATATTTCCAAAATTCAAGCTGGAAAGTTTAATAAATGTCAACTTCTTTTTCCACCATTTAAGTGCTTTCTTGCTCAATACGGAAACGACCTATTTGTAAAGTGCGTGGCGGGGGAGAAGGGAGGGTGTTGATTTTTGTTGAAGGGGAAGTGAAGCAGCAGCTCCTCTGGATGCAGATGTTCTGCAGCAGATTTCAGGTCACGCAAGACAATTGTTTTACACTTGGCGATTTCAAAAGATTTTAGTTGACTAGCTTAAAAACAAAATACACTTTTTATGATTTTATGGCCATGTTACAAGTTTGTATCGGAGCTGAACTAGGGGGCAAGGCTCGTAAGCTGTATGTTAAAAGTTTTCTTCTTCTCTACCTGCTGACTACTATCACTTTCTGCGTGACAAATCCTTTGTGTATTTAACATATATGCCCAGGTGGCAAAGAAATCTTCACACAACGTTACCTGCTCCAACTTGAGTCATGCAAAACAGGAAAGCTTCTGTAGGTTTAGCTGAGAAACTGCTTTCTGGCTGTGCAATCCTACTCAATTATGCATTATTGCTCTAGCAACTGCTCAGCAGTAGAATGAGAAATCCCCTGAACCGTAAAATTTTAAATACTAGCTGCACAGGGTTTCTTACCTTAGATCTAAATGGACAAGAGAAGGACATCTTTCCACCAGTGTCTTAACATCTGAAAAGAGGTCGCATAGAGTCAGCACATTTTTCAGTAACAAGTAAGACATGCTTTAGAACAGAGTATTTCAAACTCCATGTATTTATGTTCATTTATATCTTCCCTACTGGAACCCCACATCTGAAACCCATTTTTTCAAAGAGATTCATACTGCAGATTTAAGACAGAGTCTACCTATGGAGATACTGCACAGGGACTGTTTTTAATCCTATGGCCAAACAGATGGAGTTAGTCCAAAGAACTGTACCTAGAAGTCAGGTGCATCAGGAACTTAGCAAGCAAGCAACTCGAAAGTCGCTGATGTAGAAATCCACTAGACACAGTTGTTCTGAGATGCCTAAAGTATGTTACATGTAGTGAAAGCTACTTCTGTACCAGAAATTTTCAACACTTCAAATACCTTTTTATGCTTAAAATTACATCAATATACTTAAAATATGTCAATTTTTTCAAATGTCTTCATTTTCACCCCTGCAAAGGGAAGTTCTCTCTCATGACAGAAAGTTACGGATTTCCTGATTTAAATTTTAAGTTGCTGGGAGCTTTTGTCATTGTCTACAAATAGCATAGAATACCCTATCAGACAGCATCTAAAAGGCTGCTATCAGGAAGCTGAATATCAACATCCAAGAGAAAACGTTGGTATTTCAGAGTTCACGTGCGAAAAATAAAGATAATAATGCCTAAACGATGATGATTAGTAAACTGTGCTCCAATCTTATGCCTTATAAATTGTATTGAAACACTAAATTTTCTTACAGAAGGTGTTTGCAAACAAGACCGCACGATCTCTCTATTGATCAGACCAACACAAGCTTCGAAATTCCTTGGCAAAGAGGCCAACTGATTTGGAGGAACAGATTAGGTATTGTGTTTGTTTACAGTTTTGGGGCTGAGATACAAAGCAGAATGGTGTATTTCTCCACAAGGGGAATGCATGCGAGGTCTGTGTGAGATTTAAACAGATCAAAGAGGGAACACAGCTTGTATGTAGAGACTTCACTGCTTGTCGGTCAACGCCCTATTGTCACATTTGCTCATTGAGATAATTCATTTCTCTTCACCATCACAGCCCTTTCATCCTTTATCTATGCTTTTGTCCATTTTGCTGTGCCCTTTCCCCAGCTCTAGATTCCTATACATTTTCTGTGACCTAGCAACTTCTAGTAGCTTACCCTCCAAAAAGTATCAGCAAGCAAACAGTTAATGTTAATTGCTGAAGCTGGATTATTTGCTTTCTCAGTTGACATAAAATCAAATTAACTCATATCAAAAAAAGTTTTCTGTAGAATATCATGCCAGGCTGAAACTCAAGTAGCTATTTCATCTGTTCACTTTCAGAAGACACTTTCAGCAACCACAAGAGCAGAAGCCTTAATTTAAGAAGGCTCCAAGAACTGAGCTCCCTCTTGTATATCTGGAGGGCCAATACACAGCCCACAGTGGAACATCTGACCCAGTGGATCTTGCTTGCAGAACTCGCTTCAGAAGTGTGGGCTACACCTCCAACTGAAGATCAAATGAGCTCTCACCTGCCTGTTTTTAAACTGAGAGACAACAAATTACCTCACCCCTCATGGCTGAGCAGGAGAGAGGAATAAGATCCTGTGACAGCAAGAACATCACATTACACTGAGCAGAAGAGCACTGTTACTGCATCATGTTTCTACTATACGCAGCAGATGCCAGCCAGAAGAAAATAAAAAGCCTGATTTGCTGTTTAGCTCAACAAATCAGCTGATACTTAAAACCCAACACGTCTTTTCCCTCATAATGGAATAAAGGTTTGCCATGTTGCTGTTTACCTGATATCTGCAGATTCTGTCTGTATCCACTTAAATTTAGTTGGGTTACTTTTGGAGTAACATGACTGACTGCTGCTTTGACGTGGGCGGCTGTGAAGTCACACCAGGACAAGTTCAGCTCCTCCAATCTATACAAAAATGAACAGAGGGTTGTTTGGAAGCATGAATGAAATACAATTTTCTGCCTTAAAAGTTATCACTGAATTAGATAAATATCAGAATTCAAACTGAAATACATCTACTACCAAGTTGCTTTTGATGATTCTAAACTTGACTCTTACAATAACTAAGCACTGGAGCAGGTTGCACGGAGAGGCTGTGGAATCTCTGTCCTTGGAAAGTTTCACGATCCGACCAGCGAAAGCTCTGAGCAACCTGGTTGGTGCTGAGTTCAGACCCTGCTCTGGGCAGAGGGCTGAAGTGACCTCCCAAGGCCCCTTTCCAACCTGAATGATTCCATATTTTAGGAAGTGAAATGGCTGTCTCAGGAGACTGCCAAAAGCAGAGATTGTCTTTTCATCTTGTTTCCCATTGGTGACCTGAAACAGTTCCTACTGAATAGGTGTTCACATTTGGAGGAACAAAAGACCATTGGCTATCCATTATTAGTGTTGGCCAGGTGACCAATTAATCTTAATTAGTATAAAATGTTTTACAGTTTTATGTAAGTATTGGTCATGTTGTGACCCTAACCCTCCTCATATGCTTGACTACCTATAGCTTATCACCATTCAGGGGCTGGGACAAAGTCGTGCGTGCGTGCGTGGTGTGTGTGTGTGCAGGCACTGTAGATATAACCAGAGGACAAAGAGTAAACAGCACAACTGGAGCCTATAGATGGTAATCTCTGTGTAAACAAAAAGGCAAATTGTTACAGCAGTGAGGTGCTCTCTCTCCCCCACAGAACATCCAAGGAGAACACATAATGGTGAAGCCAACACATGCACATACTATACGGCTTCTGCTCTGTTGCTAAAAAACTGGGTCCACATTGCCACTAACATTCCTAGCCCAGATCAGGTTTTCTGAGTGTTATGCACGGTGCAGAGTCAGCCACTCCCTAAAGAGCTTATGATCCAAGTAATCAGACCAAGCAATAGAAAGCATTATCTGCCCATGAGGAGAGGCAGAGAAAGATTAAGACTTTGTCTGCCCACAAATTTTCAGCAGTTTGATTCAACACATGTTTTTGCAGAAGCAAAGATTAAGTAGTTTGTCCAGCATCTCACAGGAAGTCAGCAGAAAGACCAGAATATAAATCTCGGATCTACTGGGGCCCAATTCAATGATTTCCCGCCAGCAGATGGTTTAATCCCCAGAGCTGTCCATCTGAACACAGCACTTCATAAAGCAGAAGGTCATTATAGATTACTGAAGGATTATTTTAACATGGACGGAACTGCATGATGTTTTCTGTCACCCATGCTGTACCCTCTATATAAAGGGAGATCTCAGACTCCACTTTCCAGTTCCAAAATGCACACTTTCCCTTTGCGAGGATGACATATTGCTTTCACTGAGAAAATTCAAATTTACAAGATAATCAAATTTACAAGGTATGTAAATGCATTTTATCCACCAACAAGACTTTATTTTCCCTGTTAAAGAAGAAAGTACCTTGATGGAAACAAATTATCTGACTATTCAGCTAATAATAAACTGTTAGGCATCTGGGAACACAATCAGGCTTCTAAAAGAGATACTAAGAGATAAGTACAATTGGGCTGCCCATGCAACAAAAAAGAAAGAAAGAAGAAAAGGAAGGGGGAAGGAAGAAAGGGGAAGAAGAGGGAGAAAAAAATAGAGAAGATAATTTCTCTCAGGAATAGCAGTAAGCAGGAATAGCTTACTCAGAACAGCTGCTCAACATCAACTCCAGGCTTTCTGCAGAGAACCCTGAGCACCCACAGAGATTTAGTCGTATTAAACTGGGATTCTGAGCAATGCTCCTGTAGGGAAGAAAAAGGAAAGTCAGATGAAACTTAAGTGTCAGGCCACCACTTGCATTGCTAGGATGTGTGATTATTTTTAAGAGCTAAGAGTCTAGGCTCAGAATTATTTGTTAAAGATGCAACACTACCTGGCTGGTAAACTGACCAACCTTAAGAGTCGCTAAGGATGTAGACTCCGTACTTGCTGCATCACAGAACAACTTGGAAAGGAATATTTGCCTGTTTACCTGATGATCCTGACAAGTCCGCATATTTATAAAATGCTAAGTTTAAAAGGAAACAGAATTTCTTTTTGCCTTCTGCTGTTGTAAGGCAATAAACAAACCCCATGGCTTATTAGAAGTGACTGTACCTCTACAAAAGACCGAGTAATCACCCCATTTCTGAAGTCATCTCCCTGTAAGATGGAGGTCGTTCCAGCACAAAACACACGTTCAAGTAGCATCCTCCTGAACGCATTCATTTACAAGACTAGAGCAGATGTGCACTTGGCCAAACCTGGAAAAAATCCTCTACTCGATATCTATAATTTGTCCGTAAGGCAATCAACTTCTGTACTCCATGACTAATTTGTACCCAGTTTTCAGATACCTTTTTCTGGCATCAAAAACCAAACCATATTGGTTTATTTGTGCTTTGGTTTTTTTTTTCCCCTGGAGTGAGGAAAGTGTCAAAAAACTCAGAAGTAGAAAGCAAGACATCCAGAATATCTGCCCTCTGACCTGGGGTCCCCGGCACCTCCCAGTCACCTGACATGATTAAGTAAGAGGCTGATTGCACACACATCAGTATCTTTCCAGTTTAACCAAACACCATCTCATCTGCCTGACAGAAATTTTAGTTTTCCACATACTCAGAGAGAAGGTCAACAAAGCAGTGAGAAATGGTGCAGAAGCACACAGAGCACCTAGCGGGGCAGTGCTGGGACCTCTTAAAATTGAAAGGGATATGTGCGCTCTGGGAGCACAGAAATGGGAAAATAAAAGCTGCTTTGCTGTGCATAATAAGCTTGGCTGTGGGAACAGCCAAGGGACACGCATACTCTACGGAGATGAGCAGTTTCTCTAGGCTACTGTTATTCTGGAGAATGAGAGAAACTCTTCTAGAAGGGTGTTGCCTTCACATCTCACCTCTTTGAGGATAGCGAGGAAAGAGGCAGCCCATGGAGCCTGCCAGCTAATTCTGTTCCTTGCCTAAAACCAGGCATTGCAAAAGATTCCCAGAATGCACAACTCTCAACTGCCTAATTTCACTAGCCTGCAAAAAACAGTGGCACCAAACAGAGAGTATTTATTGAATATTCCTGAACATGTCACTCACTTGATGATGTCATCAGAAAGCACTAGCCCTTCCAGGCTGAGGTTCTGTAGTCTCTCACATCGACAAAGGATACTCTGCAGATCTGCAACAGACACCGTACAGTTCGACAAATCCATATGTTGAACCCTGAGAGGTCTAAAAAGGAAAAAGGTGGATTACTAAAAAGACAACTCCAAAAAACAACTCCAAAATTCCACATAACATAAATATCTCTACTGCAACACATGCATGCAAAGTTTGAAGAAATTAACTGTGCGGTTGTACCTTAAAGGAACGCTGGATCTTATACTAAGCTCATTGGATCTACTACTAAGCTACCAGCCAAAGCTGCTGAACTCTTAACTTCAGGGTGCATAAACATAAGAATCATCACAAGAGCAGCAAGCCTATCCTGCTGGACTTAAACCATTTTTTTAAGCATCCCATATGTCTGACAAGTCTTGCTTCTAAAATAAAGAACTAAATTTCAAGTAGACAACAGTGCTCAAATTATACTTTCAAAAACTACAGTAACTTGCTTTAAAATAACTGACTGATGAATGCAAATCCTCTTATTTCAACACATGCCTAACCAGTGATCAGCTCATCCACACTTCACTGAGACATCATAAATGCTGCTACTGGTGGAGATTTTAAACAAAAATACACAGAAAAACAGTGAAGACTGTACGAGATTAATCGTTTCAGGATCCAGAACATAGAGGAAGCCTCACTTGCTGGTTTTAAACAACGGATTCCCAATACAGGATCTTGGGCAGCGGAATACAGTAACACCTGCAGGCAACAACTGGCCAATCACTCCCGGCAGCAGATTTCTGCCAGTCAGATCAAGAGTCTGCCAGAGAGATTCATCAAACCTAGGGAATAGAATTTTACCTGTTAGTGAGTAATCAAGGGTCAGAACTACGAGTACCACAACAGAAAGCTTTCAATGGCACGAAAGACTGAGGGAAAGCATATTAAATGCATTCAATAAAATTAATAACACTAAAATATTTGAGTCATCTCTTAAATACACACATATAATCCACACGCAATATCAACTGATTTACAGATGAAAACAAGACGAGAACCAGCCCATTCAACAATCTATGGAAGCAAATTTCTTCTTAGCACCAAGCAACGAAAAGCAATACTTACGAGAGACGACGCCATCTCTTGCAAATCAAGGAAACTTTTAGCAAGTCATTTAGGGGCAAATACGCAAAGATTGCCAATAGCAATTCATCCGGAAGTGCATCCCAAGAAACACCTTGAAGGAAAGAACAAACACGTTCGTTAGAGCTGGTTCATTTTTGCCTGCTGATCAGAAGCCCTCTTTGGCTTTGTCATTAAAGGTTCAATAAGCAAGTCTTTCTCCAGGCTATACATACACCAAACCACTGCTCAGCCCCCTTTCATCTTTTCATTATAGATAGATGTTATTACCATTTTTGCCTAGGTGTGACAGGTGAATCCAGAATTTCATATAGCATTAACTTGGTATATATCCTGAAGCTACGGAAAAATAATTTTCCTGAAAAACAACTACAATCTTCATTCATACACTCATTTGGGAAGCAAGAGCATCTCAGTTACTTCCTCTGTAATTCTCGCTAACGCTCATACACTTCCTCGCATGCAGGAGGGGAAAGGCAAGTCAAAAAGGCAGCCTCAAAAATCTGGTATTGGACTTGTTTCTTCTTTCCCTGCTAACATGCCCATCCTATCCACGCACATGAGGCTCCCAGAAGAGAGTGCAAGGTGAACTTTCACACAGGTCACAGGAGAACTCGGTACGGCAAAGTGCCCCTTAAAACGCGCACGCTGACCACTGCTCCCCAAGAATTATCCGAAAGGACGTGGTGTGGTCCCAGCTTCTCAGGGACAGGTAAAGGGCTCCAGAAGGTGTTGCCATTCACTTGGGAAAGAAGCTCAAGAACAGATGCCTACGACCCAGCAGGTCTCACGCCCCCTCTGAAAGCAAGGCTGCCTGAGGACATTCCCACCTTTCACATGACAGCCTTGTCTCTGGAGAACTGTTTCTCTCTTTTGCATTAAACAATCGTGGCACAGACTGAAAAAACATTCTGACATCAGTGACAGGAACCCAGCAACCCTTTGCCCTCTCCTCATGTGCCCCAGCACTGCAGGTTACAGCCCTGCTCTTTCCCCGATTGTCCCTTTCTGGCCCGGGAGCCCTAAGCCCTTTGCTGCACCTTCCTCGTAGCCCTCTAGCAGGGTCTCCTGAGCTGTTCACAGTCCAGCTCCACCAGGAGGTCCCACCCTCTGGCATTCCTCACAGCCTGCCAACTCGGAGGCGTGCATCCGAGTCCCTTTGGGCTCCAGGACCCAGCCTCCTCTTTCCTACAGGATTATACAAAAACCCAGCTTCAAGGTTTTTAAGTTATTTGGGAGACAGCAGCACCAACAGCTCAACTTCACCAGGGAGTCCCAGGTGTGTTTTCTGAGGAGCCTGGCCCCACTTGCTGTGTGGTGAAACATCTCTAAGAACGGGTCCTCCGGGCAGAGTAACAGAAAAAACTCAGGGCCAGGCTGGGCCAAGGTGAGGTGCAAAGTCCCCAGCAGCAAGTAGGGAGATGCAGGGAGACGCAGCACGGACTACAGGCACGCAGACACAAACTAGCAAGGCTAGGCAGGGGCTAAGCGTGGCAGATGGGGATCACAGCTTTGGACTCAGACACACCTCTTCTGTTTAAGCCCTGTTTTATGTAAACCATTGTCAGCCGGAGCCCAAAAGGCCTAGAAATTATACTTTGCTGAGACAGAGTAGAGGGAAAAAAGAAAAAGACAAAAAGAAAGAACAAAGCACTAATGACTTATGACGCCTGCTTTCCATCATTATCACAGGCCAGAAGAAACCCGGGCCAGCACGACACTACCTGACTCTGCCTCTCGAAGCAGCCGAGGCCTGCGCACAATGACAAAGTCCTTTTCCTTCTCCTTCACCTTCTGCCGCTTCTGAGGAGGACAGGGCGACACCAGCAGATCCTGCGGGGTGTTTTCGTTGCCCAGCTTGTCCTTCTTGAGGACGGACACTCCCATGCCCGAGAGGAACTCCGAGGTCTTGCTGGAGTCCCAGTCCCACGTGAAGCTCGTGGACACATTGCTGCTGGAAGACGGGATTTCCTGGAGATGTTTTCTGAAGACACAGCAAAAAAACCCCACGTTCACTGAAAACCCCACGTTCACTGAAAAGTTTCCGCCCTACCGACACTAAACGCAAAAGACGACAGAAAGCCTCCTCGCGCTGCGACAGGTCACGGGAAGGACTAACCCG